TTTATGCCTGACATATAGTAGGCACTAGATTAATGTTAGAATGAATGTACAGTAGTAAATTAATGTGGCTGCCATTGGTGAGAGAGAGCTATTTTAGCTTAAATTTGACCCTGAGCATTTTGTCAGATGTTTCACTTTGAAAAGTATCCACTGAATTTGGGGCACTCTTAGGAACAATTAAATATGTAGTCCCATATATTTGTGAAATTTAAGCATGGGCAAATAATGACTGCATTACATTGAGGCCTAGTATTACACAAATATAATTTTAGCATAGAATAAATTGATAGGCTTATAGTTCTGTTTATCTACATAATCTAAAAATGTTGACAGTTATGTGTGTAGCTTACATATGTAGCTATAGACCAATGCTTTGCTTTGACATACTAGATTTAAGTCAAATCTTTCTTTTCTCTTTTGTAGTTATTCTAGGGGGCTGTTGGTAGAAACTATTCTTTAATATACACATATAAATATATTTATATGTATTATATGTATACATATATGTATTTATATGTATATTATATGAATCACATTTCTTTATAGAATTTCTGGGAGCTTAAGATATCTTAATTTTTTTGGCTATAATTTTCTAGTAGTGAAGGCTGTTAATGGAATGTTTCCAAGTTGTCAGTGATATTTTCTGGGAAAATTTCTAATTCATTGAACTTGTAGGAAAGCATGTACTAATTATTTATACTTTTAGAAAAGATCATCCATTAAGTTGAATTTTTAAAAAATATTTGAGGCCACGAAGTAATGAAAATGAAGCAAGTACCAACTGCTTTCACATGCTATCACATTTAGTCCTTAAAGATTAAATGAAATTGGTTTCTCGCTCGTTTTGTAGACAAAGAGACCGTGCCTCAGAGAGGTTAAGTTTATTGCCCCAGATTTTACGTGTGTAAAAGGGAGGAGGCAACCAGGCTCAGCAGTGTCGTGCTCTGCTCCCAGCGAAAGCTTAAACTCAGCCAGTGCTCCCTGCACTGACACCTGAGTTTTAAATAATACCGTGTACCTCTACAATGAAAGTGAGAACAACCGAAATCTGCTCATTCCCCTTCTGTGGATATTAGTTTTGGTTCACCTTTAAGATACTGATCAACTTGCGTCTCTGCCTGCTGTGGTTCCGTTCTCAAGTTAACAGTTTAGTTAAACACAGTAATGAAAGTCCATAACAGTCCAGGTCTGCATTGCAAAAAATATGAACAGAGGCTCGTATTTTAAATCAGCGGCAGTAGAGGGAGAGAAATTCTCATTTGTTCCTTATTTACTTATTATTGGTGCAGTCTAGTTTTTTGTATCATCTGTGTTCATATCAATTTTCTTCTATTGACTGGTCAGATGCAACCCCATGTAATAGTAACAATTTCAACTTAAAAGGTTTGGATTTTTCTAAAACACTGTATAGCTTGTTTCTAGTTTTACCTTCTTTCTAGTTTTGGAACCCAGAATTTTTATCATGCAGACTGTGGGACCCTGAGTGGGCCCTTAATGCTCCCTGCAGGCACATCATTTTTCCCTTCCCCATCACTCTCCCCGCAATCACAGACTGCAGTTTCACATCTTTTCTTTCTCTTCAAACCTGCTGTACCTTCTCCCTCAGCCTCACTTTTGGCTGATGACTTTGCTTCGACTGTCTCAGTGAAGTGGGAAGCAATCCCCCAGGCCCACCACCATGTGTCCCCACCTGCAGCTTCCACCTGGCTTCCTTTACTGTCAAAGACTGACCACAGTCTCATGGAAGGTCAGTCCTTTCACCTGCATACTGATCCCATCCTCTCTCACGAAGGGGCGCAGCTCCAGCAATTCTCCCCTTTCTTTCTTGGCGTCACCAATTTTTTCCTGCCTACTAGATCATTTCTAAAGCATAGTAACGTATGTTATTTCTCTTTTATCCATGGAGTCCACTTCCTCCTTCTGCCACCTTCCTATTCCTCTGCCCCACCTTTGCAGTCACAACTTCTTGAAAGAGTTGTCTGTGCTCAGTGTCTCCACTTCTTCTCCTATCCTCTGTTATAGCTGCTGCAGTTAGACTTTCTCTTCAACCACTGCACCAAAGCTGCTTTTGATCTTCAAGATCCCGATGATCTCCATGTTGCTCAATTCAGAGATCACTTCTCAGTCTTCGTCTTACTTGGCCTGTCAGTAACATTGACCCCATGGATTGCTCCCTCCTCCTTGAAACACTTTCTTAACTTGGTTTCCACCAAACTACAAACTCTCCCTTTTCTTCCCTCACTGGCTGTTCTTTCTCAATCTTCCTCACTCGTTTTACTTCTTCTCCCTTACCTTGTAATGCTGTTGTGCTTCGGAGCTCGGGCCTTAGACTTCTTCCCTATGTGCATTCATTGCCATAATTGATCTTAAGGTTTTAAATACCATCCATATGCTGGCGATTCTCAAATTTATATCTCCAGCCCAGATCTCTCCTATGAAATTCAGATTTGTAAATGTCCAACTTTCTACCTAGTATCTCCTCTTGGATGTTTACTAGATATTTCACAGTTACTGTTCCAAATCTGAATTCATGAGCGTCCTCTCCACCACTAAATTTTCCCATTATCTTGTGTTCTTTCTTGTCAGCGTTAATGGCAACCCCATCCTTTTAGTGGCTCAAGCTGTCATATTCTTCTCTATTCTTTCATGTCACCATATCCAGAGAGCAGTGTGACCCCTTCTCACTACATCCACTCCTAACACCTTGGCACAAGCTACTCTCATCTCTTGCCTGAAGTAGCAATAGCCTCCAACTACACTGCTCTCTATCCTTGCCCTTTCACTGTCCAATCTGAGCACAATGTGATCCTGTTAAAAGGTGAGTCATGTTGTGGCAGCCCTCTGCTCTGAAGGCTCCCAATGGTTTCCCATCTCACTCAGAGGAAAGACAAAGTCCTTACCAGTAGCTGACAAGGCCCTCCACAATCTGCTTACCTTCTCTTATCTTTCTGATCTTTTCTCCCACAGTGACTCTCCCCCTCTTACTGTGTTCCAGGACTGTTTCTTGTGAACATGCCGTGCCTGATCTCTACAGGGCTTTTGCATCTTCTGCTCTCTCTGCCTAGAACACTTTCCCCCAGATGTTCATGTGGCTTTCTCCCTTACCTCTTTTAATATTTTGTTCAAATGTCACCTTTGCAATGAGGGCTTCTCTGACCACCTTATTTAGTATTGCAGCCCCATCCCCTGCCTTCACTATTCCCCTGCCTTGCTTTATGTTTCTCCATAGCACTTATCACCTTTTAATATTGTGTAAATTCACTTATGCATTTTTTTAAAGATTTTATTTATTTATTTATTTTCCCCCCAAAGCCCCAGTGGATAGTTGTATGTCATAGCTGCACATCCTTCTAGTTGCTGTATGTGGGACGCGGCCTCAGCATGGCCGGAGAAGCAGTGTGTTGGTGCGCGCCCAGGATCCGAACCCGGGCCATCAGCAGCGGAGCGTGAGCACTTAACCGCTAAGCCACGGGGCCGGCCCCTCACTTATGCATTTTTATTGTGCGACAACTCACACTTGCTCTATGAGGGCAAGGATTTTTGTCTCTCTCTTTTTTTTCTTGACCAATGTTTCTCTACTACCTAGAGTAGTACCTGGCACAGAATAAGTTCTCAATACAAATTTGTTGAATGAAGATGGAAGTATTTTAACATTTTATGAGAGATGTCAGTGTCCTGAGTACACCTTAATAAAATTGGTCAAAATACATATTTGTTTATCTCAATTGTATCATTTATTCACTTGGTAGCTATCATTTCTTGAGAAATGTGAGGAAACCAGGAAGAGGGCTCTCACCAGAACCCAACCATGCTGGCAACCCTGATCTTGGACTTCCAGCCTCCAGAAGCGTGAGAAATAATTACTATTGTTTAAGCCACCTAGTCTGTGGTAATTTGTTATAGCAGCCCAGACTGCCTAAAACACTGCTTAAAAGCCTCAGACACTGACCTGAGCTGAGTTTCAGTGAAGTACAGAAGCTTGATGAGAATTGGAATGAACGAGCAGTATCCATGCCTGTTCCACTTAGTGTGTCTAGTTCACTATCTTCTCTCTAGAGCATTGTTTTTTAACTCTATAGTGAGATCTTTTTCCCAATAAAAAGCTAACCAGTGATCAGAAAGACTTAAGGAATTATTGAGATTGAGCAATCCTTCTAAGTACTAGTGCACTGATTTTTTATAACTTTATTATTTGGAAAGGAGTACTTTTTAAAAAAGAGACATTATACAGCCCATCGAAAAACAGGTAAAAGTGCAGCCCATCTACATCCAAAGTCCTGGAAGATGAATGTGCTCCCGGGATGGGTCTGAAACTGATACAGTATGGCGGACCCTTTTTTGAAAAAATAATATAAAATGAAGACTACACGTTTAGGTACAGGGCCTTGAAAGGGCCCTGAAGCTTAAGCCTTATTAGCTTCATGGCAAATCTTCCTCTATCTTAATGAAAATGGTGGTGGTGGTGATGGACATGATTGTTAACACACTGAGTTACTTATATGCCTGGCACCTGTTCCAAGCAGTTTTCATACATTAATCCTCAAAACAACCTCAGTGCATTGTACCAGAGGAACAGAGAAGTCATGCCCAAGGTGACACAGCTGGGGAGTGGGGTTGCTAGGAGAGTGAGGAGGGGCAGAATGGTAAAGAGCACTAAACTGAGAGCAGAGACCTTCGTCAGCCCCAGCTTTGCTACCCATTAATCAGAAACCTGGAAAACATCACTTAGCCTTTTTTGTATATCCTTGACTTCACCTGTAAAACGGGACTATTGATGCCAGCTGTGAGCCCCTCGCTTTGTTCTGAGGTCCGGAGAAAGTGTGTAAAAGTGCTTTGTGAAGAGTAAAATGCTTGGAAATGTAGTGTGATATTAAACAACATTCATTCCAACTCAATTTTATAGGTTAGGCTTAAAAATACATTTAATTTCGCTGACTTTTTATTTCACTTTTAATGTTTCTAATTTATTCCTTGGATGTGTTTGTTTTTTTTTTTTTTAGGTTACTTGTCTGCAAGACTTTTTTGGTGATGATGATGTTTTTATTGCATGTGGACCTGAAAAATTCCGTTATGCCCAAGATGACTTTGTCCTGGATCACAGTGGTGAGGCAATTCATTGATCCTCTTTGTAACCCTGAGATGAAAGTTTGGGATTTAGTTACTTGGTGCATGTTAAGTGGTCTGATGTGTTGAAGAAAGATGGCATTGGTGGTATTCTTTACGAATTAGAGAATAAAATGAAAGTATTTACCTAGTTGTAAAAAAAAAAAAAAAAACAAAAAAAACACCTAATTCAAGTAAAGTTGTTTTCATTTTTTAGCAATTTGGTTCTATCTCTTTTTACTGCATTGTTTTCCCTCTGAAATGGATTTCCTGCCCTCTTCCAGAATAGTGGCTAGCTGTGCCATCTTAAATATATGGATAGTGTCGAACCTGAAACAGCTATACATTTTCCATGTCCATAAAAAAATACATAAAAGGATAATAACTAAATTGTTAATAGTGATTATTTCAGGTCTCTTTTTACCTCGCTGTTCTGTTTCCAACTTTTTAAAAAACAATAACGTTCGTTGTGTGTGTATATATATATATGCAGAAAAAAATAAAGCTATTTTCATTGATGGGATAAGAAAATCCCTCTCTCTTAATTTTAGCCAGTGTATGGAGTTTTCAACTATTTAGCAATAACCTCAGTGATTTCAAATATCATTGATTCTGGGAAAATTGCTTTACTCTGTTGTCTTGAATTAATTTAAACCTATTACCTGTAATAGTGATTATTGTAGCTGATAGTAAAGTCGCATTCATCTTTAAATGAGGTAAAATCGTACAGACATAACATTTCACAGAGGAGAGGGAAGTTAGAAATATAATCTCACTCTTTAATTTCATGAATAAGGAAAGTTGGCTTTTCAAAAATTAGGCTTGATGGTAGACCCCTCCCAGTTGCAGTGATTCTGACAGTCCAGAATTAGAGAAACATATTACCAAATAAATATGGTGATCCATAGACTTTTTAAAATTCAAGATGATACATTCTGTGATACCAGACCCGGGTGTAATTCTTTCCTGTTACACTATGTCATTACTTTGGGGTAATAATTTATCTACTTTGAGCTTGGGCCTAGTTTATCTGCTCTCTTTGTTTTTCTATTTTGTTTTTCTCGCTGCTGCCATGTTTCTTTGAGGGTTTCTGTACTGTCTTATATTGTATTGGTCTGGCCCTGCTTTAAACTGGTAATGTCACTGGAAAGTCCTCAAAGAATTGCAGATAATGTCCTTTTTGTATGATCTGTGCTCCCCTATTCTTATGGATGATTAAGGGTGACTAAAACATGTATTTACATGCCATCTGTATTTTATATTTTTCTTGATTTTAGCTTAATTTCATTTCATAATATTTCTTTGTTAATAGTAGTCATTTTGAAAGTTGGGACACTGAAACTCAATGATATGTTTATAAAGTTAATTTGGATAACAAAGACAACAGTAGAATCTTTATTGAGCACTTACTATGCATGTACCAGGCATTGTATTCAGCACTTTACCTGTATGTTGTAAATTTACATAAGCTAGTTGGATCATTAGTAGTTTTTTGTTGATTTTGCTAGCGATGAACTCCATTAGAGGTAGGTGAAAGTTACTGATTTCTTCCCTCTCAATTGGTAATTATTTAACCTTCTGCAAACTGAGGATAACAATAGTGGCTTTTTAATAAGATTTTGTTAATTAAAAGTTAATAAATGTAAAGCAGTTATCAGGGTGCCCGTTACATACTGTATGCTATTGCTATTGTTATTGTTGTTGTTAATGTTATTATACTACTACAACTACCATCAGGTCATAAAATTTTACAGTGAAAGCAAGTCTCAGACCTGATTCTGCCACAACTACATTTATTAGGAGGCAAAGACTTTGTAAAAATCAGTTATTTAACTTGTGTTGTAATCTTGATGAAGTCCCAACTCTTTGTCCTTTTAGGCTTCTGACAATGTCTTGCATTAAGTTGCCATTCAAAGTCCATCGAATTCAGCTAACCTAGTCTTAGTCGAGTGAAAAATCTTCCATTAAGAGCTGGATGCAGGCCTGGGTCAGATTCCTAAACCTAGGGTGTAGTTCTGAAGTTTTGGTTGTTGGCTCTCTAGATTTACACATCCTGCTCATAGGAGAGTGGCAGTGCCTTTCAGATGTTTCTAGGGGGCTGGCCCCATGGCTTAGCGGTTAAGTGCTTGCGGTCCGCTACTGGCGGCCCAGGTTCCGATCCTGGGCGCGCACTGACACACCACTTCTCCGGCCGTGCTGAGGCAGCGTCCCACATACAGCAACTAGAAGGATGTGCAGCTATGACATACAACTATCTACTGGGGTTTTGGGGAGAAAAAGGGAAAAAAAAGGAGGAGGATTGGCAATAGATGTTAGCTCAGGGCCGATCTTCCTCAGCAAAAAGAGGAGGATTGGCATGGATGTTAGCTCAGGGCTGATCTTCCTCACAAAAAAAAAAAAAAGTTTCTAATCCACAAAACACTCCTTTCAAGAATGGAATACTTTCTAACATCCACAATGCTAATTAACTAAGCTGAAGTTGCTATAGCCCCCTCTGAGTAAGGTTTTGATTAGGGTCTTTCAAATGCTAACTAGCCTCCCCTGGTGTGTATTTTCCTGATTAGTGTACTTCACATGTTAATTTATTGCCCCTGGGGTATAGATTAAAACCAACCCACATTTTATCTTCCTGCATAAATTGAAGTATTTTAACGTAAATTACAGACACTATATTATCTAATTTAATCCTTATAACAAGCCTATGAAGCAGATTTATTCTTATCCCAATTTAATAGGGAGAAAAGCAGGTTTAGAACCTATCCAAGGTCCCCCAGTTAGCAAAGTCAAATCCATGATTCATCCAAAATCTGCATGACTCCAAAACCCATGGTCTTAATTATTCAAATTAGAAGTGATTATTTTAGCTGTAATTAGTTCTGGTACTCTAAATGCTTTTTTATTTGGCAATTTATGGAAAGACCAAAGTTATTGTTTAAAGCTAGTTTCCTTGTTTTTGATGCTCCATACTTTGAGAAGATGGAAAATAAGACTGAAAGGAGTTCATAAATTAGAGTCCCATATTTTTTCAGAATAAGATATCAAAGAGTTGGAGAGAATAATAAACTTGTAGCCGTTGTCTGTCAATGCTACTGACTAAAAAAAAAGTTGCACATGTTTAGATTAGGCTGTGGATATGTGTGTATAAGTTAGGAAATTGGGATTTCTGTGTTCATTGAGAACTCCATCTGGAACAATGAGGTGATGTCACAAGGTGTGTAGCCTAACTAAAGATAACCTCAGGTGTACTTTTGGGATGGTTGCTTTGTGTATTAAAGTTGTTTAAGAGTAATAGAAAAATGATCAGGTAATGGTTCTAGGCAGTCAACGACTCTCCCATGTGATCTTCCTTTGTTTAGTATTAAAATCAGATCTATTTAATGCACTTTCCTTCCTTTCTAGAATGCCGTGTCTTGAAGTCATCTTATTCTCGCTCCTCAGCTGTTAAGTATTCCGGATCCAAAAGCCCTGGGCCCTCTCGACGCAGCAAATCACCAGCTTCAGGTAGGTAATGGAAAAGGAATGGATGGTCACAGAAGGAGCGGATCATTCTCCTTCAGTTTTATTTAATTATTATGAATTAGTAGTCTTTCCCATCCTTATATGCAGCCAGGTTCCAGAACAACATATAAATGACATGATTTTTAAAACCAAAAATTCAAGTCTATTTCTCAAAGTTATAATACGTTTCCTAAGAAACTTATTTGTTTTGTTCTGACACATTTTTTCAAGAACAATCTTATTATCTAGATTCTTCTCCTGCTATTTACATAAAAGTGTTTCACATTTTGGCCACTGTGTGCTGCATTTTTAATTTTGTGCTAAATGATTGTGGACATTTTCTTCTCTTATTGGTTTAAAACTTGCACGTACACACCTAACACAGAAATGTATTTACTTGATAAATTTCCACAGGCTTTTCCTTCATCAAATGGTTTAATAGTAGCAACGATTATTATTGGAAAATAGTGCTTGTTTAAGAGTCAAGCTTACCAGTAATTAAGTTTCTTTCAGGTCCTAAGCCTATAGATTTGTCATAATTCTGTTTTTGACATTTTTTAAAAAAATGAACACATCCATAAATATCTTGATATATTGATTCTATAAGGTTTGTTTATAGTAATTATAAATAATTTGATGACATCATTTCCCATTGAGGAAAGGATTGTGAAAAACCGTGATTTTACATGTGGGAAATCTAGAACATGTGACAGTAGTGTCAATAAAAACTGTCTTAAGCATCAAACTTTTTATAAAAGACTGAGTTTTTCGGACATTCTACTTTTCACTGTTTCCCCTTCGGCACCTACTCCACTCTTTGGGTTGTTTACCCTTCTTATTGTGTACACGTTTAGACCTGCTGAATAACCACTCTCCTTACTGTCTCCTCCTCCTTGTATATACTGAATGTGTACAGTAAAGAGGAGTGGCCACCACTCCAGTGCCTACTCTACAGCCAAATCCCCAGGTGAGCCATGATTATTGTGGCTTTGTCGCTCTGCTGGGTTTTTGTTTTTGTCTTTTGCCACATTTCTGTTTCCTTCTGCTCCATTTCCATGAATGTATCTGGCTTGTACCAGTGTACATCTGTGCAGCATGAAATGCTTCACAATGCATAGGATGCTTCAGCCTCCCTTATTTATTAGAGAACCGGTCATCGTCAGAAGATTGCCAAGTGCCTGCCTGTATGTCGTCGTAGTACACAGTGGTCGAGGAGGCACATCGCCTCAAGGGGTCTATCTTGTAGTTAATTTTGGAAAATAGTCTGTTACTGAAAAGACTGAAGTTTGTTGGTAACATGAAAATGGCCATAGAAGCAATTATAATATTCTCACCTTCCTCTGGGGTTAATAGGCTCAACACTCCCTCTAAAAAATATTGACAATAGTCACTGAAAGCATCTCTTGGCTGTTAAGCTTGTTTCAAATCATATTATGCTTTCTATAAAGTATCTCAAATACTGAGAAAGCTAGTATAACATGAAATTTTCATGAATACGCTGAAGTGAGCTTACCATATGGTAGATATAGATTTTTGTCAAGTTCTTAGCTTTTGTTTTAGTGATAGGTTTACAGATGCTTATCATATCAGTAAAATAACTAAATAAAAGTGGGGAGAGTGGGTCAAGAATCAGGTATTATGAAGACACCAATTTTGTCTCCCTGAGGTCTAAAGAGGGAAATTAACGTACTGAACTAAAAACATGTTTCATAGCCATTAATTGTCCTGCAGACCAGCTGCTTCATAACATAGCCTAATAAATGTATAAATCTTTTTAACTTGAATTTGAAATGCTTAGAAATTGGTTTGAGAAAATCTTAGCATTCCCAAACTCCAAATTTTTGACTGAGTACATATTTGGATTTGGGTTAATGGAGTAGATCTTAAACTCATAAGTAAAAGGTGTGAGATGTTTAAATCACATTTCAGAGGGCAAATGGCTTCTTTATAAGAGATTAATTAACTCAAAAGCGTTTTCAGCACATACTGAAGTTATGAAAATTGAGGCCTGGGTCAATTGCTGGGACTTCACTGTAATTGCAGAGAAAGTTACTATATTTATTCATATTATGTTCTCTTCCTACTTCCAGGAAGGAGAGTTTTGTATTATTAAAAAGCCACAGTAGGGGCTGGCCCAGTGGCATAGTGGTTAAGTTTGCACGCTCCGCTTCGACAGCCTCTGGTTCACAGGTTCAGATCCCGGGTGTGGACCTACGCACTGCTTATCAAGCCATGCTGTGGCAGGTGTCCCACATATAAAGTAGAGGAAGATGGGCACGGATGTTAGCCCAGGGCCAATCTTCCTCAGTAAAAAGAGGAGGATTGGCAACAGATGTTAGCTCAGGGCTAATCTTCCTCACAAAAAAAAAAAAAAATTCCCAGTCTGATAATTCCAACATTTGGCTCATATCTGAGTGTGATTTTGACAATTGCTTTGTCTCCTCAGATTGTGTCTTTTCTTGCCT